CTCTTTGGATGGATTTTTGCCATGAAGTAGGGGTGTGGTCGCAAGTGAAACACTCATAGCTAATATACTTTCCACAGTACTGACCTGGTGTGTACTATTAGCTACTAGTAAAGTCAAGGCTTTTCCAATAAAATAATAGTTGGGTGCTTGTAAGTGATTCTATATGAGTGCTACTTCATATAAAATACTATTTATCCTAATTATCTAGTGTCACATAAAATTTAAAGAATTGCCATTCTATACTGCTTGAAGATTTTTTAAGTTGATGGCTTAGTGGAAGTTTTACAATGGTCTAGGTCATTTGGTGTCTTTTTTTCTTATTTATTAATCTAATGTCAAGGGCCAATGAGGAATGTCACAGTGACAGGAGCCCAAATTGCTGCAATTTAGTGCTGTCCCATTTGTGACCTTTATCCAAGGTCAACTCATAATTCTGCATGGCAGTGCCAACCAGAAATAAGAAAGAAAAGAAGGTTGACTCAAGATTTTGTATATGGAGAGTTTGGGCAGGAGACTCAGGGTACTCAGCAGTGAGATGAACTAGTCTGGAGTGTCCTAGATGGCTCCACTCACAGGTCCTGTATCTTTTCAATGACATATAGAAAGCTGCAATGGTTTAGGACTATAAAATGATATTTTCAGTGGCATGTCACTCTCTTGCCACTGGCTCAAGTTTCCCAAAATAAGTATTCTAAGAGATCCAGATAAAAACTCCAAGGCCCCTATGGTCTGGCCTCAGAAGTCTAAGAACATCACTCTTGCTCAATCACTTGTCGAGTAAATCACCAAGGACATTTCAGATTTAAGGCAAGGAGACCAAGACTCCATGTCTCCGTGAGGAGAATAGAAAAAATCAACAGCCACAACATTTAAATATATTAAATCAGAAATGAAAGAAATTCTCTTAAGGCAGTTACCCAATGTGAGTTAGAACTGAGTTGACATCTATTGAGAGTTTGGTTCTTAGTGGGAGACCCATTCCTGCCACAGCAAATTTGTTTGAATGGCACATTGGCTAGCCAATAGAAGAACGCTAGGCATTTGAAGTTCCAAATGCTGACTTATCCTAGCATGGTCTTACCCAATGCAGCCTGTCATGTTTTAGTTTCAACTGAAGTTCTTCTGGAAGTTTAGTTACAAGACACCCTGTTCTAGGAAAGATAAGGACTTCCTGGAAGTTCCTCAACTACTCCACATCTTCAGCCTCTTTTGACTCATGGAAATACACACTGGTATGAAAGAAGGAAAGAAAGATAAATGTAAAGACATTAAGTAACAAAATGACTTAAAATGTGAATTATTAATGAGCTGTTTTCTTAGTGTTTCAAGAAATGTTAACATTTTTCACTTCATTTTTATAGTTGGTGATGTTACAAGATGATTAGGTAATCCCATTTGAGAGTCCAGCCAACCATAGAAAATAAGTCAGAAAGGCATTAATATTTGCCCTTTTTGTACATTAAAAAAATCCTGTGTCTTGACCAAAGTCTCTTAGCTGATTAAAGGAATTCAGATCTACCACTGAGACCTTGCACATTTAGAGAGAGAACTTTTATCTAATGTCACATCAATGCTGCATATGTAAGTCTTATAATCATTTCTGAAAGTTTTTCTCATTGCTAAATTTTCATTTGGTTTTATTTATTCCGTCTGCAAAATAGCAATCTGCATTTTGTAAAGACAGCACACCAAACAGGAACATCTCAAAATAAAAACGAACTTTTTACTTATCCAAGAATGAATGGTACCAAGCAAGGACATCATGGTTCTTTCTCATTTTCAAAGTACTTTGCAAGCATCAGCAAATTGAACCTCCCAGACTCTTTAGTATGACAGTTATTTTCAAAATATCATTCATTTCCCAGCAAAGTTCTCTACTTTGTCCTGTTTATGCAAATCAACACATTTGCTCAGTCTTTCAAATAAGAATCTGAAGACCTTGAAATTATTTTAGTAAATGTGTGGCACCTACAGTTAGCTAGACAAAATGAAGTGACCAGTGATTTTATCTAAAGAAAAAAGTAGAGCATAATAGAAGTTCTGGATAGTAGATTGTCCTACAAGTTTCTCTCATTAGAAATTAATTTTACTGATCCATCACAAAGAATGATATTTTATCATTTGCAAAGAAATAGATGGGCCTGGAGAAATATTATGTAAGCCAGGCCCAGAGAGACAGGACATATGTCTTCTCTCATATTGGAAGTTAGATATAATTTATAAATATGTGTAAACATATATAGGGTCATATGATCTATACACAAACATATTAACTGTAGTATGGTATATGCAGAGGAGAATTCCAATGATGTCACTCCTTTGAACAACTAACTTATAGTATAACAAAATGAATACCAGGAATCTGGTATTCTTGAGGTATGTGGGGAGGAGTCAAAGGGAGGGAGATAGATGAATGAAGAGAGGAGGGGGAGAATGCAGTCATAAACTAGGAAAATTGAGAGGATGAGTAGCGTTGGGAAGGAGAACAATGGAAGGACATTGATCAAGATGCATTGTGCTCATCAATAGACATGTTGAACTGTAACCCCTTTGTACAACTACTTAGAGACAATAAAAGATAAAGAGAAATTCAATACAGGTATCCCCCTAATAATTGAAAGCTGGGGCAGTTTCCTACTTTAATCATTCTAAATGATGTGCTATACTGGCTTCAAATTCTGTTTTCAATTTCAAGAATGGAAATAAATAGGAGATTCCTGAAAAAATTCTACCAGGCTGAGACACAATAAACAATCAGAGCCCATGCAGGAAACAATGGGCCCTCAACAGTAGGTGAATAGTTGCATTGTGTACAACTATTCAGCTAGTGCTATAAGACAAACTCAGTTGTTTGTTGTTGTTGTTGCTGTTGTTGTTGTTATTGCTGGAGCTTAAACACAGGGCCTGGGCTCTGTCCCTGTGCTTCTTCTTTTGCTCAAAGGTAGTGCTCTACCACTTGAGCCACAGCAACACTTCTAGCTTTTTCTGAGTAGTTTATTGACAATAAGAGTCTCATGGACTTTCTTGCCTTTGCTGGCTTTGAACTGTGATCCTCAGATCTTAGCCTCCTGAATAGCTAGGCAACTCTGCAGCTGTGGAATGGTTGTCAGGATTCTCAGCGTTCTAGTAACTTCTTTGAGTTAAAACAAATACTTTTTACCTGAAAGTAGAGAATCACCAGTCTAGGACTATCTCCTAAGTATGTGTGAAGAAACTACAAGATAAATATGTAGAATTTAAGACAAGCAAGTTTGCTTTTTTTTTTCTTTTTTCAAATTATTATTCAGTAGTTGTACACAAAGAGGTTACATTTCCATAAGTCTGGTTATAGGTGCAATGCAAGCTTATTTTTAATGAATGAACCAAGAGCAAAGATATTTTGGAACTAGAGCAGCTTGAAACTACCTAGGGGAAAAGGTGTGGCCAGAAGAAGGAGAAAAAGTAAAGTTCTTTCTCTTTATGTTACATTTAAGACATATTTGTTGCCCTATGTCAAACATAATGCTAATAATAATGACTGTATTAATAATAATGTTGAGTGACAGTAGGTAGGGCAAAGAAAATGATTTCATGGTATCATGAATCATACTATCCAATTGATCTTCTCAGATCAATGGCAACCTTTGGCAAACAGGAAATTTTGTTCCTATTCCGTAGATGAAGTTTGGAAAGTACTAAATGGTAAAGCACTACCCAAAGCACCATAAAAATGTAAGGAAGGCACATTAAACTCCTATCAATGAATCTATATTCCTGGGGCACTGACTTAATATGATCATAAAGTTATGCTTTCTGCCTCTTTTTCTTAAAGAACAAAGAATCTGATGAGGTGTCAGTGGCTCACACCTGTAATCCTAGCTACTCAGGAAGCTGAGACCTGAGAATTACAGTTCAGAGATTGCCTAGGCAGACAAAAATTTGAAACTCTTTTCTCCAATTAATCAGCAAAAAACAAACAAACAAACAGAAATGGAGCTGTGGCTTAGTTCCTGCATTGGCTCTGATTACTTACTAGTAGAACAGAAGTCTAGAGCAAAAAAGCTGAGGGAAAGCTAAGGCCCGAGAGTCAAGCCCCAGTACACGTAGGCATGCGCGTGCATGTACACACACACACACACACACACACACACACGGAATTCTAGCAAAGAAAATAGGGATTCACAGAAGTTGCAGCTTCTTAATTAAATCTTCACACCATTTTGAATGTTTGTTACCTTTTGGAAAACAGGAGAGAAACTGCATTTTTCACTGATACTTTACAATTGGCATTCACCAAGAGAATAAAATATTTTAAATTATCATCAATAACACAAAGAGTAGATCCTATGTATTTACTCCACACATTTAATTTTGGATATAACATATTAGATTTTGATACAATAGTCATAGAATATATTTTAGAGAACATAGTGAAGGTAAAAGATGATAGCATTTGGAGGTTCATGAAATTCATAGATTATTTCCATGTCCATATTCCTAAAACGTTATAGCTAGAAGATCATCTAAATCACCCCCTTCACTGCGAATCACTGGAATAAAAAAAAAAGACATATTAGTTACTCTTTAGTGTGTGTGTGTGTGCACGCGCCAGTTCTGGGGTTTGAACTCAAGACTTGGGTGCTGTCCCTGAGCTTTGTGTCCATGAGTAGCTCTCTACCACTCAAGCCACAGCTCACATGAGAAAACTGTCCCTAAGAAGAGGTAAGTGACTTGCTCAAGGTTATGAGCAGTTATAATTCTAGCTGAAGCTAGAATGTTTCCAGGACGCCAAGAATTTTAATGCTTTCTTTGGGAAGGCCAAAACATGAAGAAGCAATTTTCACAAGGACAAAATAAGGTAAGAAGTGTCATTTATCTTCCTTTTCAGATGTTAGTTCACTAAGACAATGACCACTTCTAAATTCCAAGGACAATATCAAACTCAATATTTACTAAGATTACCACTTACTCTCTCCTAAGGAAATTGTTCCCATCACTGAAATTATCTTCTTGATTCACAGGTCTAGAAAGCATGAAGACTGTTCTGATTTTCCTCTATATCTTGGGAACTACAGCTGCAATCCCGGTAACTTCTGTTCTCTTTCTTCATATCTCCTTCTTTAGTTTAGGACCTTTCCATTAAAAGAAAAAAGAAGAAGAAACTGGGCACCAGTGGCTTATGCCTAACTATTCAGGAGGCTGAAATCTGAGGATTGTGGCTCAAAGCCAGCCCAAGAAGGGAAAGTCTACAAGACTCTTAAATCTAATTAACCACCCGGTAGTGGAAGCTGTGGTTCAAAGCAGTAAAGCGCTAACCTTAAGGAAAAAGTTCAGTGAGTGCCCTGGCTCTGAGTTCAAGCCCCAGGACCAAAAAACAAAAACAAACAAACAAACAAAACAAACAGCAGGGTGCAGGCTGTTTGTTTTACAGGCTCAGGTGTGTAATCCTAGCAACTCACAAGGCTGAGATCAGAGGATGGTTCAAAACCATCCCGGGCAGGAAAGTCTGTGAAATTCTTATCTCCAATAAACCACTCAGAAAACCAGAAGTAGTACTGTGGCTCAAGTTGTAGAGCACTAACCTTGAGCTGAAGAGTACCTAGGCCCAGAGTTCAAGCCCCACAACCAACAAAAACAAAAACAAAAAACCACACATATTCTTGCCAGGAGCTGATGGCTCATGCCTGTAATCATAGCTATTCTAGAGGATGAAATCTGAGGATTGTGGTTCAAAGCCAGTCCATACTGAAAATCCCTGAGGCTCTTATCTTCAATAAATTACTCAGAAAAAGCTTGAAGTGAATCTGTGGCTCAAGTGGCAGAGTGCTAGCCTTGAGGAATAGCTCTCAGGTCCTGAGTTCAAGCCCCAGGACTGGAATAAAAAAATGTATTTGTACTTTTTAGTGTGTGTGTGTGTGTGCCTGCGCACACGTGCACGTGCGTGTGCCAATCCTGGGGCTTGAACTCAAGGCCTGGGCCCTGTCCCTGAGCTTTTTGTGTCCATGGCTAGCATTCTACCACTTAAGCCACAACTTTACTTCCTCTTCGGTGGTTAAATGGAGATAAGAGCCACACAAACTAAAACACAATTTGATTTTTTATTTCATTTTACATAATACTATTGACATTTGTCTGTATCTTCAGAAATTCTAGACAATATCTTTTTATTGATATTATGAATAAAACATACTGCTATGAATAATAACAAGAGCAACTAGCAATTTTTAAATTGGTGTCTAGTTATGAAAAACACACATATTTTTTAATTTTTTCAGACAACTGCAAGGTTTTTATCTGACTATTCCAAACCAACTGCTGAAATATTGGTGACTCCCGACAACACTGCAATCCCCATTGCCGAGGTTGAAGCTGCAGAGAAGGAAGCTGGAGCAGCCACAGAAAGCACTCCCAACCATAAGGTAAAGATAATACCATGGCATTAAATATGATTTCTTCTTTCTCCAAAGAACTCAATATCAAGGCCTCATCAAAGAGATTACCCTATTTGTTTCTGTTTAATTTCTTTAAATATGTTTATCATCACATAACTCTCTTAACTATACAAAATTTAGGAGCTAATGTAACCATATATACACACATATAATATGGTTATATAATTGCTATATAATTGGGGGGATTGCTTGCTTCTTTGTTTTTCTGCTGGTACTGGGGCTTGAATTTAGGGATTGGGCACTGTTCTTTAGCTTTTTCACTCTAAGCTGGCACTCTCACACTTAAGCCATACCTCCACCTCTGGATTTTTGGTGGTTAATTGAAGACAAGCATCTCATGGCCTTTCCTGTCCAGGCTAGCTTTGAGACAGCCTCTTGAATAGCGAGGATCACAGGCATGAGCCACCAGTGGCTTGTTATGTAGTTGTTTAAATTTATAAAACTCAAATTCAGGTTGAATCTTTGGCTACAAATCCAATTATATATTCACATTTACAGAGTCACAAATATATTTACAAAGTCACACAATCACGCATTTACTTGTGATCACATTTACATAGTAATGCTTAAAGAAAAAGAAAGATGAGTTTTTAATGTTTGCTTACGAATTGTAAATATGATTGCATTGTCATTTGTTTCAAGAACAAACTTTTGTTCTTTTTAAGGCTGAAAAATCTTCAATACAAAGATCAGAAGAGGAAAACCCTGATCAATCTGTAGAACAGGACAAGACCGACAGCCAAGAGTTAGGGTTGAAGGACCAAGAGGACAGTGATGGTGATGTAAGTGTGAATCTGGAATACTCCCCAACTGAAGGGACCTTAGACTCGAAAGAAGATTTGAGTGAGACTCCAAAGAAACACTTCCCAGAGAACACTGACTCCTCAGCTGCTGCTTTCAGTTCCAATGTGGAATCTCACCAAGAAAACACTGCAAAAGGAGAGGAAAATGAAGAACAACCTATAAATGAGTTATTTGAGTTGAACAAGAACAGTTCACATAGCGAAGACCTAATCGATGAAGGAAACCAAGAGCAAAATCCAAATATTCCCAATGGAGATGGAGAAGAAGGAGAAAAAGAGCCAGAGGAAGATGGTGTCCTCAATGATGACCAAGAAAATGAAAAAGAAGTTTCCAATGAACATTCTAACAGGAAGCAGGAGGAAGATAATGACCAACCTGATGCTCTTTTGGAAGACTCCAATCCACCAACACAAGCAAGTGAGATGCAAGATGAATCAGAGCAGAGTCACCAAGATCAAGGAGAGAACTCTAATGCAGAGATGGATGAGGACCATATATTGCACAGCAGTAAGCAAAGTGAAGAAGGAAAAACTGACCTTGAAATTACTGACAACCAGGAGGACATAGATATAAAAACTGCTCCCACAGAATCGACTGATGATGGTGATGTTCTGTCCAAAAGTCATGGAGCTGAAAGTGATCGAGAGAATGATGATCCTAAGCATGGTGAAAGTGATGACTACTTGATGCCGAGTGAAGACAGTTTAGAGGCTGAAAAAGGTCAACCCATTTCATCTTACCTCAAGCATGAGCAGGAAAGATCCCAGGAGGATGAGAATGTAGATACCAGTGAGACTGGAGGCTACCAAGAGGTGAGATTATTTATATCAGTATTTGTCTAATCATGTTAGTTATCAAGATAGAGTAGTGAGTTTTCTCTGTGCTCTCTGGCTCCTGTATGTATTTCTTTCTTTTTTTTAATTGTGAAAATACTGTACAGAGGGGTTACAATTACATGGTCAAGATACTGAGTACATTTCTTATCAAGCATTGTAGCCTCCTCCTTTGTTTCCCCTTCCCATCCCTTCCCATCCTTCCCTGCCCCCCCACCCAATCCTACTCCCCCACCCCACACCAAAGTTGTAAAGTTCGTTTTCTACATAATGACTCGTACATCTCATTATTGCAATGGGTCCACCTGTAACCCTATTTAAACGATTTTTTCCCTTCCCCTCCACAAATTATACCCACATCAAATACAGTGAAAGCAGGGGTTATGCTGTGGGGGAGGGACATACAAAGCAACAAAGAAATCATCTTATAAATGTGTTAGAAACAATCACATGAAAGAAAAATGCATTTGAATACATATCTTAGGGTTCATTTCCCTCAGATCAACTTATCTGACCTTTTCTGCTTGACTCAGACATATACTAGTTATCCTGTATGTATTTCTATCAGCGCAATACTAAACTCAGTATCCCTTATCTGAAATGATTGGAATGAGAAGTGTTTCAAATTTCATGTTCTTTTTCTATTTTGGAATATGTGCATATATAAATATAATTTGTCTAAACATAAAATCCACTTGCATTTCCTATTATACATACTCAGGTACTAGTATTGATAGAATACTCTCAATGTTTGCACTTTGAACATGAGATCAGATGGGAATTTTCAGCCTGTAGTGTCATATAAGCACACAGATTTTTGGAGAATTTAGGACTTCACATTTCAGGTGATCTTCAGCCTGTAGAATTATTTACTTTTCTGTCCATATTCATATTTAGACCAAAAACACCTTCTTTATTTGAGCTGCTCTGAATGAAACCTTGGGTTTGACTCACAGTTAATTGAAAGGAATTACCTTTAAGGAGGAATTGACATGGTTTTGGGTAAACAAGTCATCTCAAACATTGAGAACTCTGCTGCCTCTAAGAAAGGAGTTTTGGGGTTATTTTTTTAAACCTAAAAAAGCTTGATCAACCTCATGGAGATTACTAATGCATCTCTGTCCTAATCTAACTATAGCAAGATGTTACCACACCATTAATATATTCCCAAGGCCAAAGCAGAGATGGTTACTCATAGTGAGTAATCCGCTGGGCTCCAACACTGGATGCAGATGGTCGAGACTATAAAGGGTGCTGTCCACCCACACTTACTGTCTCCCTCCACAGTTGCAGCTCATTTCCTGAGTGAGGTTTGACAATATTTGCACTTAAAGAACTGTGAAGGCATGTACTGTGGGAATATAAACCAAGTAATGGTTCTCTGAATAGAACCTAACTTTTGCTCTTGTTATTTTAAAGGTTAAGAAAGCTGAGAGCTCATCACATGACGATGAACCGTCAAGTGAAGACAATTCAAGGCTGCACAATGCTGGTGAGTAGGCGCTAAGCTTACTGATGATGACAGCTAAGCAGCTGTCTGTAATTGTATCAGCGAAGAAATGGAATTTCAGGTACTAGTGCTTCAACTGAGGGCCTGGGCACTATGCATTAGCATTCGCTCAAGGTTAGCTCTACCACTTGAGCCACGTCTCAATATCTGGCTTTCTGTTGATTAATTGGAGGTAAGAATCTCAGGGACTTTCCTGCCCAGCCGGGTTGGCTTCAAACCATGATCCTCACATCTCAAACTCCTCACTAGCTAGGATTAAAGGAGTGAGCCACTGGTGCTCCACTTTTCCCTCCCTTTGTGACACAAATGTCCTTCTCTCCAGGCCTCCCTCTCCCCCCCAAAATAACCCAGAAATGGATATTTCTTGGGCATATTTGATAAACTATGGTTCAGTGTATTTACTAACTGGGAGTTCTGTTTCAATATTAGGAAAAAGTTAGGCTCTTCCCAACTATATCCTTTTGCTTCTGGGAAGAATTAATTCTACCTTTATTCTCAAATCTATAAATTATTCATGAATTTAAATCCTATACTCAACTAAGGGCCTACTTCCTACCCCAATCACAAACAACTTAAATTTCAACACAAAATCTCATGGCTTATTTAACTGCTGAGTGATTTTCAACAACAGTTCCCTAGGTATTTTCAGACTCTGGCTGTCTCAGGCAAACCAATAGGCGCTGCTAATTCTTATTGCATCTCTTTTTTTTTATTCTTATTGCATCTCTGATAAAAACTATTCCAAGAGAAATCAAAACTATACTGCAAAAGTCTGGGGCCAAAAGGTTCTATTTAGAAATTAGTTCACCAATGAAAACAGTGTATAATATCTTCCCCCTTTAAGTTTTTCATATTTGCAACATTTCAAATTTTCTCTCATATTAATGAAAAGGAAGCTGCTTGTCAGCTGAATTTGCTTTCACTTTGTGCTCCTTTTCCAAACTTTTCCATTAGATTCCTGCATGAACTTCCAATGTAAGAGAGGGCACATTTGCAAGGCAGAGCCACAGGGAAAAGCACACTGTGTGTGCCAAGATCCAGCGACTTGTCCCCCAGCAAAACTCCTTGACCAAGTAAGTATTCCACCAAGCAATCCTTAAGATACATCAAGAAGCTAGGGATTGAACGAGATCCATGTGTTCAGGATGTATGGCAATACGTGGGATTTGTATTAAAATAATAGTTTGCATTTGCGTTTTTAATTTATTACAACCAGGGCTTAAACTCAAGGTCTGACACTTGCTCAGCTTGCTTGCTCACAGCTGGTACTCTACCAATTGAGTCATGCCTCTAGCCTAGATTTTTGCTAGTTAATTAGAGAAGGAGTCTCATAGACTCTTTTGCCGAGGCTACCTTCAGACTATGATTTCAAGGTCTCAGCTTTCTTGGTAATTAGGATTACAAGTGGGAGCCATTGGTGCTCAGCTGAAAGTTACTATTTTTAAAGTACCTCTCTACATTATCTAATAATGAATGGAATATTTATCTATACCAAATGCCAGCCTAATCAAAGTATTTTAACTATGCCACGTAATATAATGCTGGTAGTTGGGCACTAGAACGCATTCTAAAATTTTCTATTCTCCATTCTACTGAACTTATTGAGAACTAAATTGCCATCACCTTTGATATAAATTGATATTTGTGCCAAACCAAAGGATTTTATTTTAATAGTATCATCTATCTGACTACATCTGTGACATATTATAAGCTTTCATGATCAGAGCACTTTACAATGAGCAATTTTGTCTCTATCCACTTTTTTTCGTGTCCTCTAGGCTTGTGGCACTGACAACCAGACCTACGCAAGTTCTTGTCATCTGTTTGCTACTAAATGCAGACTTGAGGGGACCAAAAAGGGACACCAACTGCAGCTGGATTATTTTGGAGCCTGCAAATGTATGATGCCCTCACTCCCACCAGCCACCATTTCTGGGAGGGTTTAGGGGGAAATCCATACATGAATGGATCCTATAGATGCAAACCAACAAAACACTGATAGAGTCATGAACTCAGGCTGCCCACTAAAATCAACTGGAAAGACAAAGCATAAAAGCAAACCCCAGGCCTTAATCATAGGAGACTGTTTTATTTGGATTGAGTTGGAACACTAATTTTGTTTCTTTCATTTGTTTTTCAAGTAACCTAGACAATTCTAACATGGAGCCAGGGATCAGAAACACCATGATAATGTGATCCACTTAGTAGACATGAAATACTGGGGTTTTGCTAAATTATTTTCTCTCTTCCCAATTAAAATCTTTGCCAAAATGTTTTATTCTTCCAGAAGTTTTTTTTTTTTTTTAAGTTGTCTTCCTTCCCCAGGATGCTCTCAATTGTGTTTGGCTCTTGTGGCTAGTAAATGATTCTCCACATTAGCAGCATTCAGTCATGTTTTGGGTTCTTTTTTCCTTCCAGACACAGGAGAGAATTAAACTTGTCAGCTCTGTTGATATTAGGTGTTGTCACATGACTTGTTTTATCCACTGAAATGAGATAAAACATCCTTGTGCTTTCTGGGAAGATGCTCCTAAGATCTGTAGATGGCTCTCCATGCTTTCTTCTGAGTTTGCCACACAAACTTCGTGTGAAGCTTTTTGTAAAGATAATCACCATAAAAGATGAGCCCTGTGGAGGCTCTGAGGAGCAGAGCCCTCCTGTCCATGGGAGTGGCCGTGGAGCAGGATAGAGTAATAGGCTTTGGTTTAGCATGATTTGTTCTGAGAGTGTACATTAAGCCCAATCTATTCCTCTGCTTCTAGTTACTAGATACTCCACTTTTATATTCCAGTCCCCTGGTTCTCCTAGGGAGAACTAGCTGCACATCGAAATTACTTTCAGAACTTTAAAAACACCCTGATGTCCAGGTTCTGTTCCTCACCCCAGACCAATGAACTCACCATTTCTTTTCACCAAATCTGACAGTTTGTATGTGTTTAAAACACTCCAGGCAATACCATTAGGCCATAAGAGTGGGCAGTTGAGTCTGCTCTGTCCATCGCCAGGAGTGGCTAAGCTCCTATTATGAGAATTTGCCATAGGGTAAAGCCCAAAGATCACAATGTATTTTCTGCTTATTACAGCTATTCCTGTTTGTACGGACTTTGAAGTGGCTCAGTTTCCCCTACGGATGAGAGACTGGCTCAAGAATATTCTCGTGCAGCTTTATGAACCAAATCCTAAACATGCGGGACATCTAAATGAGAAACAGAGAAGTAAAGTAAGTGATTCATGGGTAAACTCTGCTGCTAGGGCTTAAGGGGAAAAAGTGGTGTGTTGACCAGAGTAACCTCTGCACAGCGGCGGGAGCCCACTTTACCTCCCCACACCTGATTAGCTTACACAGGTTAACATTCGAGTAGTGGTTACCGTTCATGCCACAAGACCGGGGACACTGCCAAACTGCCCATCCTACTCAACAGGCTCTTTAATTCATATCCAGAGCAAGCTGTTAATTAATTGAGCAGTATTAACCAACACTCATCATTTATATTGCCAGGTCCTGTGTTGGTCAGCCCATTACTGTAACAAATACCTAGGCTAAGGAAACTTAAAAAGAAGAAAGGCTTATTTTGGCCCAGCGTTGTGAAGATGATTGCTTTATTGGCTCCATTTCTTTGGGACTTGTGTTGAGGCCACACATCGTGAAAGGAAGCACATGATGGGGCTAGCTGCTTACCTCCTGGTAGGCTGGGAAACAAAAGGAAAGAAGGGGAGGGATCAAAGTATGCCCCCTGCTGAAGCATCCCAACTTCCCAGAGCCGGCAGAACTTGAACCCATGATGGGCGAAAGGAGTCACCAGCACTCAAACTGGCTGGAAGCCTTTTATTTGCCACATGGCGTCTGTCCCTAGCTTGTAGAGCGTTGGGGAACAGCCCTGTTGGCTTTTCATGGGAGATTTTTGGGGTTTTTGTTTTTTGTCGGTTGTGGGACTTGAACTCTGGGCCTGGGCACTGTCCCTGCGCTCTTCAGCTCAAGGCGAGCGCTCTACCGCTAGAGCCACGGTGTCACTTCCGGTTTTCTAGTGGTTTATTGGAGATAAGAGTCTCACAGAGTTTCCTGCCCCGGCTGGCTTTGAAAGGCGATCCTCAGATCTCAGCCTCCTGAGTAGCTAGGATAGGAAGGGGTTTCACTTAGGTGATGTTTACCAAAGCAAGAAGCAAAACATAGCTGTGAGTCATTAGAGCTGAGGCAAAACATAATCTTGACCTAGTCAGCATGACTGATACTATCAATACAAAAAGTCAAAGCATATCCTTTGATAACAGAAGTCAAAACATAATCTTGGGTAGGGGTAGTCTATTTTAAATCTCAAAACATTAGAAACTCATTTCCATGGTTGGGGGTGCACTGAAAAATGATTTTTATTGTAAGCTCTCAGTAAGCAACTCCGTACAGCTGGTGATAAGCCTCAAGGTTGTCTGTCAGTGGCCTTCAGCAAAGTGTGTGGTAAACTGCAAAGCTGCCAGCCTGGGAAGCTTGAGAGAAGAAGAGATGTTTGCTTTTTTTGCTTTTTTTTTTTTTTTTTAGTAAGGATGTTTCTAATTTCACAGTTTTTGTTCCCATGGATAGCCTTCTTTTCCAAGGGAAAGGGGCTCAGAGGAGAGAGTAAGTTTCCTGCAGCAGGAGGAACTGACGCTAGACAACAGAAGGAACTTTTCTGCCAGTGAATAGTAACTCGGATACCTTAATTTTTTGGTGGGGATCCCACTTAACCAGGAGACTTCCAGCAGGGCCCTTCCTTTTAAAGGTTCTACTACTTCCCAATAATGCCAAAAACTGGGGTTGTCCAAATCATAGGCCTTTGGGGGACATTAGATCCAAACTATATCAGGCCCATACTCACAGGGCAGACATAGATGAATGATGCGGGGAAAATCCATCAGTCCAATGTCAGTAATACATACATTAAATTTTTAAGTGCAAAATATTGATTTCAAAAAAACCACATTCATTTGCTAGTTATTGAGTGTATCTTAGGTGCCAAGAATTTATTGGAGTTTTGAAGGTACAGCTAAGAAGCAAACAATATTTCTGCCTCTACAAGCTTACATTCAAGGCAAAGAGACAGATAAGTACATAGTTGAATATAAATACAACCTCATCAGAAAATATTTGCATAAAGCATGCCAAATACTATAAAATGTTCTATGAAGAAAAGAGAAGGAAGGGTTGAGGACTGGTGTCAAGTAGTAGAGGACTTCCTGATAAATGTGGGGATCAGAGTTCTAAGCTCAACCCCCATACCATCAAAAGAGACAGACAGAAGAAAGGAAAGAAAGCAAGGAAGGAAGGAAGGAAGGAAGAGGCCTCTGGGTGCTTACCACAGGCTGTGTTCTTACACTGACTGTATAGAAAGAGGAGACAGAGTAAACTTACCCCATATACACCTCATCCCAGGCCCTGTACCTGGTCTGTATTATGAATGGGGAAACAAGGGCTAAGAAAGAAAGAAAGAAGAAAGAGAGATAAAGAGGGAGAGAAAGAGGGAGGGATGAATGGTGGAAAGGAGGGAGGGAGGGAAGAATGGTGGAAAGGAGGGAGGGAGGGAAGAATGGTGGAAAGGAGGGAGGGAGGGAAGGAAGGAAGGCAGGAGAAAAGAAGAGAGGGAAGGAAGGAGGGGGATGGGAGAAGAAGTGGAATGGATATTAACAATGTCACTGATTTAGCATGTAGTCATCATAGATCATATTTGTCTTTGACAGGAGCTGTTTCTGTGACAGTACGGTGGGTTTGGGAGATGGCAGTTTGTACAAATGGGGTTCAAGAAATCCTAGTATGGTAGTATATACTTGTAATCCCAGTATTTAGGAGAATCATAAGTATGAAACCAGACTGGCCTACACAGAGAAACTGTCATAAGGAGAGAGAAGAAAGTAAAGGAGGAAAAATAGAGAAGCAGCAGTAGAGAGAATACTTTTGAGAATTAAAGGGAAACAGAATAGAAGCTAGAGGAGAAAGTTCAGGAGCCTAGTCTTTTAGTGGGAGATGCTAGAAGACATTTCTATATTTCTGGCAATAATCTAGTAAAGAAGGAAAAATACTACTACCTAAAGATAATAAAAAATATTTTTTTAAAGACAGAGTCTATAGCCAACTGCTACAGATTGTTACTGAGTAAGTGTTCCAGCTAGATAAGAAGGCTTGGATTAGCAGCACAGAAAGTAAGTTGGCAGATTCGGCCATGGGAATGAGAGTTTCATATGCATTATTCTCGCATGCTTCCTGTCCTTAACACATTGTGTCAGACAGCCTTGAGATCACGAAGTAGGAAAAAGGGACTTTTAACAAGGGAACAGGGGATAGCCAAGCAGCAATTGAGCAGAGCTAAGCTGAGACTCAGCAAGGACTGGGTGGAAACAGAAAGAATTAAAAATAGAGTATGCTAGTATGAAAGGAATAGACGTTTTACTAAATAATCAAACATTTTGCCTAAATCAGTTCAGCCTTTTTTTATTAAGACACTTCTCATGGTTTTAAGGAATGTGCTACAGATTTTCTTTGTTAAAGAAGAAAGATTAAAAGACTTAAGTTTCTATTGAAAACCATGAGTTGTAGCTGTTACACAAAAACTATAACATACACACATTAAAAAAAAAACAACAGATGAAAAGCTGTGAGCCAGGTGTGGTGGCTCATGCCTATAAAATGGCTACTCAGGAGGCTGAGAGCTGAGGATCGCAATTCAAAGTTAGCCGTGACAGAGAAGTCCATGAGACTCTTATCTCCACTTAACCAGCAAAAAGCCAGAATTGGAGGTGTGGCTCAAATAGTAGAGCACCAACCTTGGACAGAAAAAAAATCAAGAAGAGCCCAAGTCCTGAGTTCAAACTCCAATAACAGCACCAAAGAGAAAAGGAAGGAAGGAAGGAAGGAAGGAAGGAAGGAAGGAAGGAAGGAAGGAAGGAAGGAAAGGAAGGAGGGAGAGCAAGAGAAAGGAAGGAAGGAGAAAAAGGAAGAAAGGAACAGAGAGAGAAAAGAAAGACAAAAATGGAAAGGAAGAAAAGAAAGAAAGAAGGAAGGAAGGAAAGAAGGAAGGAAGAAAGGAAGGAAGGCAAGCAGGCAGGCAGGCAAGCAAGCAAGCAAGCAAGAAAGAATGAAAGAGAAAAGAAAACCCATGATATTAATTAGAAGACATTAAGCTGGGCACTGGTGGCTCATGCTTATAATCCTAGCTACTCAGGAGGCTGAGATCTGAGGATCTTGGTTCAAAGCCAGCCCAGGCAGGAAAGTCAGTGAGACTCTTATCTCCAAGTAACCACCAGAAAACTGGAAGTGGTGCTGTGGCTCAAATGGTAGAGCACTTGCCTTGAACTGAAGAGCTGAGGGACAGTGCCCAAGCCTAGAGTTCAAGCCCTACAACTCTCACACACACACACACACACACACACACACACACACACATACACACACACACACAGAGATCATTAGAAGGCATTATTTTGTGTGGGACATGGTCTCCTTTGTTATGTTATTGTTAACCTTCAAGTAAATGTTAATAAGTCACACTTCCATTACACTTGTCTGATGCTTTGACTGTCTTCTTCCTTCTTAATCCCAGGTCAAGAAAATTTACCTGGATGAAAAGAGACTCTTGGCTGGGGACCATCCCATTGAACTTCTCCTAAGGGACTTCAAGAAGAACTACCACATGTATGTGTATCCTGTACACTGGCAGTTTAATGAGCTTGACCAGCATCCCAAGGACAGGTAAAAACTCTACGTCCCTACTACTTGGTCACTCTCTTATATAATGATATCTATGCAACACAGAAATTAAAATAGAATCAAGAAATTTCCAGGTTTCATTTGAGAACAATAAGATGATCAACAATCATGAATATAAGAATCTAAGGATAGAACTGCCTTCAAAATAATAAGGCCAAGTATGGTGCTGCATTTCTATAATGCCAGCTATGCAGGAGGACAAAATGGGAAAAATCTCAGTTCAAGGACAGCCTGGATACAAAGTTAGTAAGAAAGCCAAGCACCAGTGGCTTAGGCCTGTAATCCTAGCTCCCTGCATGGATGAGACCTGGAGAATCATGGTTCAAAGCCAGTCCAAGTAAAGTCTGGGAGATGTCATCTCCAATTAACTAGCAAAATACTAGGCTGGAGGTGTAGCTCTAGTAATAGAATGCCATTTGTGAACAAGAAAGCTGATTGAGTGTGAGGGCTTGAGTTCAAGCTCTGGTACCAGTAGGTGTGTGTGCCAGTGTACACACACACACACACACACACACACACAATGTTAATGAAAAATTTAACTAGTCATGGTGATTCACATCTGTAATTCCAGATATTCAAGAGACCAAGATAGAAGAATTGAAATTCAAGGTTGACCATGCACAAAAGTACATGATCTTATCTGAAAAATAAACTAAAGCCAAAAGGGCTTAAGATGTGCTTCCCTCATGCTCTGAGTTCAAATCCCATAGTTCAAACTTTGATATTGCTAAGAAAAAAAGAACAGAATATGATTATGTTTCAGCTCCCAAGTTTATATATAAAGGTCCCACTTCCTATAAAGACTCTACTTTTCTCTTTCTTGATCATAAATTCTCAAGATAATTTGATTGGCCCAACTTGGGTCACATGCTTACATCTGGAACAATCTAGGACAGGGAGTAAGCACCTGGCTGTATAAGCATGATTGCTGTGTGTCCATTTATACCTTGAAGTGGGAAACACTGAGTTTCCAGTGAAAAGAGAAAGTGTGCTGATGTTCACCTGTCTCCTATTTATTTGGTATCTACAGCCATCCTGAGGAAGGCCAATAGCCCTCTGAAATCTGCATGGATAAGATGCTCAGTAACAGGCTGCCGTGTTTCTCCTTGCAGAGTCTTGACCCATTCCGAGCTGGCTCCTCTGCGAGCATCGCTGGTGCCCCTGGAGCACTGTATAACCCGCTTCTTTGAGGAGTGCGACCCCAACAAAGATAAGCACATCACCTTGAAGGAGTGGGGCCACTGCTTTGGAATTAAAGAAGGTAAATGTATTATGGGCTCAAGGAGGGTATTGTCTTCCCCCAAATAAACCCTGAGCCCCGCAGGCCTGGGAGAGGCATCCCACTGGATTTTCTAGTAGAAATGGAGAGCCATTCGATGGTAGTGTTCCACTACGACTACTTCATGCATAGACTGTCAATGCAGGGTCATTATTCCTACAGTTTCACCAGTGTATAGTAGCTGCCCAAGGCAGGATTTCGTTATGACATTTCAATACATCCATACAATGTATCCCGATCGAATTTACCCCTTGATTACTCTACTTTATCTCTCTTGTCCCCTTCTTCAAACAGTGTCAACAAGTTTCACTGTTCTGGTTATATATATATATATATATAATACTTTATATATAATATAATATATTATATTATATATGATATATATAATACTTCAACCCTATTCACCCTCCTTCACCCTCCTTGCTCCCACTGACTTCCCTGCCATTCTTTTTTACCCATGTATTACAACTATTAATTGCATAAAGAAAGTTTACCATGGTGATTCGCTTATGTGTTATAATTAACTCACATTATCCTCCTCTATTTCTCCTTCTCCATCTTCTGTCCCTCCTGCTTACTTTCCTCATGCTGTCTTCATACTTCCAATTCATGTGTTTTGATATTTGATATCATCCATCATTCTCTTTCCCTCTCCCCAATTATATCATCTGTAAGGTCATTTCTGGCTGCCAGTAAGACAGTCTGGTTTTGGAGGGTAGCAAGCATGAATACGTATTAAGGTCTCAGCAGCTGGTTAAGCCTGTCAATGCAATGTGAACTCAGAGAGTTGAGCCATGTTTCAGAAAACTTTATTTTACCTCCTTCCTTAACCTGAGTAGAAGTCATACTTTTCAAATGCTTATGTGGGGAGTGAAACTGCACACCTGTTTTGGACAATGGGAGGTATCAGAAGACATCTTAGATTCATTGCCAACCCATGGACAACTGCATCTTATACCACAAATTGTGCCCATATCCTGTTCTTTAATCTAAAACAACCCATTGCTGTATCTTCATGGGGTAAAGGGTAAATAAATTCTTTCTCTATTCTTACAATAGAGGGATTTAAATTTAGACATTGTTAGGGCAGGTTATGTCTTAATCTACTTCTTTTTCTTTGCTTAATAGTTGACTTTTATGAGCTAACATGTTTTCAATAGTCATACTATGACATATGTCCAAAACCTAAATATTGAAACTGCTCACAGAATGTAACTCAATAGGGAGTGTGAAAATCCCAAGGCAGAGGCTTTATAGATGTAAATTCACTTTCTAACATCCTGTTATGACATACTGAATTTGCATCCAAGTTGTGAAGAAAAGCTAGTTCATCAGAATTTCTCAAACAAAGGTAATCTGGGTGACCTTTGGTGTAAAAACTACTCATCATATAATGGCTCAAACTTAGCAATAGCTGAGAGTATTCTGGGCACCAGTGGTTCACACCTATAATCCAAGCTACTTAGGAAGCTGAGATCTGAAGGTCACAGTTCAAAGCCCAGGCAGTAATGTTCATGAAACACTTATTAACCACCAAAAAGCCAGAAATAAAGCAGTGTCTCAAGAGCTAGAGCTCCAGCCTTGAGCAAAAAAGTTAAGGGACAATGCCCAGGCTCTGAGTTCATGCCCCAGTAGCAACACAAAAAATGAACTGAGAGTATGCAGAGGTAGTTATTTCTTCATAAATGGGTCAGCAGAAAGAGTTAGTCCTTTACCTCTACAATACTAGTCTATGAAAGTAATACAAATAGTGGAAAAACATTATTTTTATCAGTATCTATTTTTATTTTGTGTATTCACGGTCTCTGCAATATAACAGATTATCCTGAATTTAGCATTTCAAATTCTATTCAATTTTCAAGGGTCAGAAATCTGGAAGTAGCTTATTTGAATGGCTCTGTGTTAGAATCGAGTCTTAGGACCTTGGGATGCTATCAGCCAGCATGTCTCAGCAAGGAATGAAGAAGCTGCTTTGACTCACTCATCTAGCGCCTGCAAGAAGCTTTTCTTCAGAGAGAGAGGGGAGAGGAGAGAGAATAAGAGAGGGGGGCTTTGTAATTGTGGGAGAAGACCACAGACAATAAGGAGTGGGGGATTACTGGCAACTATCTTGGAAACTGGACCATATTAGCACTGATATAAAATTAGTAAGCTATTAAGGCCTAGACTGACAAAAAAAAGCCAAATTACCTTTGTAACCTCTATTCAACAAGCAAAGTACTTATATAAACTCACTTATGTGCCTAAAAATAGGTCATAGCTGTGTTTTCTAACTTCCCTACTTAAAAGAGATGAAACCTACCCAAGCACAGCTCCACCCACCCTGCTCACCCCATCATTATCAGGAGCGAAGAACTTGGCAGGATAGGACATCTTTCTGAATGCCCTTTTATAGGACATGTGGTTTTAGAGGCCTGATAAAAAAGACAAACTTGAATAGAGGCCATCCATTTAAGGGAAATAGTTGGGCTTTTGCAGAACTCCTGGAAGCTCTACAGGACATCAGCTCGCCTGGCCCCTGGGTCGGGAGGTTGTCTAGGAGGAGCAGGAAAGGCTTACAAAATCCAGTGACTTGCAAAGCTCTTAATGATCTTGTTTATACCCTGTGGTTTGGTTGTTATTATGCTATTTTCAAGAAAGAAAAAAAATTAGCACATTAAAAAAGCCAATGAAATAGATATTATTCAGTGAGAATAAGTAAACAAATTGTAGCTTTGGGGTATAACTAGGGAAGGCAACAAAAAAAAAAACAATCTATAAGTATACCCTTCTTTTTCCTCAAGGCTGAGAAATTCACAGGAAATCACAATTTTTTAGTCAATGGTTTCCTGAATGTGTCTGCCTATAATGAGCACTAGATGGGATTGGTATCCAAATATCCTAGCTTTGTCATCAGGTAACGATGGAGTTCAATTAAGTGGCAAAGGAGTCTTTATGTACTTAGCACCCATGGCGTACCATGTATGACATCTCTCCATGTTAATCTTTAGGAAATCCTTCCAGTGAGACTAATATGGTGAATTAGATCATACAGGTCCTACTAGCTCAATCAAAGACATTATTCTAAGAGTGCTGAGGGATTACCCAATAACACAGTGATTTCTCTGGGTTTGAATTCAAGAAAGAGTCCTCGGGCAACATCATGGAGAAACCAGAGAACAGCTGAGAAGTTGTGATAATTCAGACAAGTTGACGTTAACTGGACCCAGAGGGAAATTTTGGGGAAAGAGAACATAGTCAAGATATATTTTAATAAATCATTCTCAAGATGTACAGCATATAGAACTAAGAAGGCAATGGCTGGTGGAAAACATGTGGGGGCAAACAGCACAGAAAGAGAAGTACAATGCCTTGTTTTCTGACTCAGGCCAAGCAGAATAACTAAAGGCAATTCTACTTAGAGAGAAAAACCAAGGACAGAAGCAGACTTGAGGTCAATGAAAATTCTTTTTGGATAAGATGGGGACAATGTCCCATTGGTAGTTGAATATATTTGTTTGCCTTTGAAGGCAGAGTTTTGGAAATGAAACATATTTGGAGTTTACTAGCATACAGAGAGAAATTGATGCCAGGAAAGATAGTAAATATGACAAGGAAATTTTGGTAAGTTAGATGAAAAAGGGTCTAGAGTTGAACACTGAGAAACATCTTGAAGGATAGAGGAAGAGAAGTTTACTAAGGAGATTATGCAGTAACTCCTGAAAGTTCGGAAGAAAACTGGAGTATATCCACAGAGGTGTTTTATAGAGGAAGAAGAAATTGACTATGCCATATACAAAGACTGAACGTTCATTGGCTGTAGAACTAAGGGTATCCTGGGGGTCTCAATAAGAGTAGTTTTGATAGAATAGCAAAGATGAAAGCAGATTCTATAGATTGAGAAGGAATGGGAGATGAGAATAAATGAAGAGTGAAGGGTAAAGAGCTGGGTGGAGATATAGAGCTGGAGGAAGTATTACAATAAAAGAGGCTTGAGAAATCCATTCATTCACTTACTTAGTAGTCACTTATGGTCCACATAGTTTTAGGCACTGAATATATAAAATACTTAAATGTTGAAGAAAAGATGCTGGCTTAAAAAATAACGTAAAAATAGAGTATAAATAAAAAGAGGAAAATAGAAGAGTAGTCTTGAGAAAGTCAGAGGAAATTTTGAACATGGGTAAAGGAATTCATTTTAAAGTCAACAGAGCTAGGCACTGGTGGCTCCTGCTGTAATCCTAGCTATTTAGGAGGCTGAGATATGAGGATTGTGAAGCAAAGCCAGTCCAAGCAGGAAAGTTCATGAGATGCTTATTTCTAAGTGACCACCAAAAAGCCAGAAGTGGAGCTGTGGCTCAAGTAATAAAATGCTAGTCCTGAGTAGAAAAGCTCAAGGACAGTGACCAGGTCTTAAGTTCAAGCCCCAGAACCATCACACACACACATACACACACACACACACACACACACACACACACACATAAATCAACAGAAATTATCTTTCTAGTCTGAACAACAGAGAAAAAAGACAAAAAAATAAGTGTGTAAATATAAACTTAAAAGTAATGAATAGTATCTTTCTTTTACAAGTGAAACAAGTATTCAAAGAAATATAATATTGAAGTCTATATTTACATACTTTCTGGTCTAGATAAAGACTTATTATATCTGGACAGGAAAATTATCTTGTAACTAAAACAGGGTACTAGTTTAGAGTATTTCAAATTAATCTGCTGTAGACAGGTGCTGAACTGTTACTGAGAAAATATACCCAAGTATAGCTGGTGATCTAAGGCAGTAGGAGTGGTCTCTAATGCGTTACAGGATGCTGTCTTCTTCTATCCATGTGGAAACAAGTTCTTCTACAAGTTACTCAGTTAGAGGCATGTTTGAACTGCCATTGTGTGTTATATTTTAATTTTCCCTACAGATTAGCATAGTTGGCACTTTTGACTGGGCTTCTTGCCCCTTAATCTTCCCTTCCTCTATCAATAATTCTCAACTGTATTACAACTATGTGGAGAGTTGCCTATTTGTTACAAATAGTGATTCTAAATCCAGAAGCAAGGAAGTGATTGTGAATATGAATGATTATGAATACGAATAAGTGAGTAAAAATATATATTTTTAGAGTGAAGGGACTTCCTGGAAGATGGCAGATTAACAAAAGACCTATATTCCAGAGCAAGAAATGAAAAGCAACAGGAAGGATGAAAGAGGTTTCAGAAACAGAGCAGCATGTAAAGAAAAGTAGGAAAGCAGCCCAGAGCTTCAATACTGGCTCCCAGTCAGGGGTAAGGGAGAAAGACTAAAGCTACAACCACAATGCAAGCCAGGAAGCCCTGATGACAATTGATTGGTCGTCCTAGCCACAGAATAAGCTCATGTTTTTCACAAGCCTTAAGTCCAGTGGGGGGGATTTAATGGGCTAATGAGTTCTCCTTTGCAAAGGCTAACGGTAAAGGCTTACGTGTCTCCCCATTGAAGTATTATAGCCAGGTACCTTCTTGAGATGAGCTTATTGTTTGACATTGAGTACTCTGGAGACCTGAAGACAAGGAACAGTCACTACAATGGGGACATTGCTGCTGGGTTAGATAGAAGATGCCACAAGAAGCAGTAAGTGGGAGAGATAGATGTAGACCCTCTGAGAAGTTTAAGCATAAGGGAGCTGAGGCTGTGGAGGCTACAGTGACCTAGTGATTACTAGGGAGAGAGCTTTGAGTCAGAGCCTGTGGCCAGCAGATTGCTCGACCTGCAGAACTATCTCTCTGCTACATGCATTTGCTTGCAGGGCTGGACTGAGCCCTGAGCCCAAGGCTGGAAGATTGCTTGGTTTCCCAGCTTCCTCCCTCACATAGGGTGGTTTACGGCTAGGTGGGACTTGAAGGTCCTGAAGAAAGTGGCAGGTGCCTCAATTCTGCTCCTCTGGCACAAACATCAGTATTTGTTTGATTCCCTTGCCCTTCAATGCACTCAGGAGACATGCCATGGTTTAGATGTCTGCAATTTCCTGGGTACACAAAGTAAGGAAAAGCTGGGAGTGGAGCTGTGTGACTCAAGTGGTAGAATTCCAGCCTTGAGCAAAAAGCTAAGGGATAGCACTCAGGCCCTGAGATCAAGCCCCTCCCCCCACACTACATTATCATATGCACATATGGAAATATCATGATAAAAGCCCTTTATACAATTAATTTATGCAAATTGAATGTATGCATATGTGTGTGACCTATATATACAATGGGATTTTTATTTAGCCACTTAGAACAACAAAATAATGCCATTTTGAGGAATATGGATAGAACTGGAGATCAGCAAAAATAAGTCAGAGTTAGAAGGCATTACATCTTTTGTTTCACATGTGGAATCTTTTTTAAAAGACATGAAAGTAGTAGGAGCACTATTGGGGAAAGGAAGGTGACCAGTGGTGGATGTGGGACAAGAGAAGAAAACGGCGAACCAGTGGCTCACGCCTGTAATCCTAGCTACTCAGGAGGCTGAGATCTGAGGATCGCGGTTCAAAGCCAGCCTGGGAAAGAAAGTCTGTGAGACTCTTATCTCTAATAAACCACTAGAAAACTGGAAGTGGCACTGTGGCTCAAGTGGTAGAGCGTTTTCCTTGAGCTGAAGAGTGCAGGGACAGCGCCCAGGCCCAGCCAGAGTTCAAGCCCCAGACCAAAAACATAAAAAAAGAGAAGGAAATGGAGGTGAGAAGTATATTATATATATATATATATGAATATGTCATAATGAAATCCATCGTTTTCTACAATTAACATGTGCTCATAAAAGAGGAAAAAATATGAACAAGAACATAAAAAAAGAAAATACATTTTCAAATTTTCTTTTGTTTTATTGTGAAAATACTGTACAGAAGGGTTACAATTACATGGGCAAGATAATGAGTATATTTCTTATCAAGCACTGTAGCCTCCTCCTTTGTTTCCCCTTCCCATCCCTTCCCAGCTTCCCCTCCCCTCGCCCCCCACCCCCCCGCACCAAAGTTGTAAAGTTCATTTTTCGACATAAGAATTTTCTTAGGTGATGTTGATGATATATTGGGACTGAGAATCATGTTTCTAAGCATTTCCGTAGTTCCTAGATATGACACTGATTGTTTATGCTACTTCTCTAACAACATTCTAAAAGTTTTGTTTTGTTTTTGTTTTTACAGAAGACATAGATGAAAACCTCTTGTTCTGAAATCAGATTTGGAAGAACTCAAGCTTTCCAACATCCTCCTCTTTTAAGCACGTCTGAAATTCATGCAGCTAGGAGATTAGTAGATTTATATTTAGCAAAATATTTGCATGTAAGAGAAGACAATGAGAGCAATTGCTTGATAATGAAATATATGCACTGAGCATGCAAATTACCTTATGAAATAAAACCATAAAATGAAGTTAAGTCAATATACATAGAAGAAATGCACACTATTTTAGAATAAGAGTTTGACTCACAGTAATTTCACTTGCTACATTAACTTTTAAGGTAATTACTAATTATAAAACTTGAAAAACATTATGTGTTCATATTGTCCATAACATCACATATACTTCAAGAAAATGGAACATGGCATTTTATGATTAACATGTATCACATTGAATATCTTAATAATGTAATAAAGAGTCTATAAAATTCCAAAGGCCTATTCAAGTTTTTTGATAATCAAATGTCAAAGCCCAACCCAAAGAGTATACTTCATAGCAAATTGTAATTGTGCATCCTAGACCTTACTACTTGAAAATAAAGTGAATGAAATTGGACAAAAAGTACAAGATATACCAGATGCTAGTGGCTCACTCCTGAAATCCCAGCTACTCCAGAGGCTAAGATCTGAGGATCACAGTTTAAAGCCAACCCAAGAAAAAAAAAGCCCAAGACTCTTCTCTCCAGTTAACTAGCAAAAAGCCAGAAATGGAGGTATGGCTTAAGTGTAGAACACTAACCATGGGTAAGTTGTGCAAGGACCTATGTTCAGGCCCCAGTACCAGCACCAAAAAGAAAAAAAAATGAATAAGGAGACATTTTCCATGGTAAAGAATAACCAGTAATAAAATACTAGCTGCTCATGAATGTCCTCCAACATGATGTGAGTTTAAACTTGAGAAAATGAATTCAAATGATTTTTAACCAACTTAAAATTAAAAATGTGGATGATTGTAACATTGCTCAGTCCACTTAATTGTATCTCTTTACATTTGTGCATGATGTTTGGAGCCAGAGGCTCTGCAAAATGTCTAGTTTCTTTTTCTCAAAATAAAGGTAAATAGCTGGGTGCCACTGGCTCATCATGTCTGTAATCCTTACTACTGAGGGAGGTTAACATTTGAGGATTGCAACTCTAATCCAACCTGGATAGAAAAGTCCAGGAGATTCTTATCTGCAATTAGCCAAAAAGCAAAACAAAAAGAAAAAGAAAACAACAACAAAAAATGAAGTAAATGTGTGGCTCAAGAGGTAGATGGCTAGCCTTGAGCAGAAACCTCAGGGACAGCACTCGGGCCCCGAGTTCAAGGCTCAAGCTCCAAGATTGGTACAAGTGCGCATGCATGCGCGCACACGAACCGTAAAGGTAAACAAAAAGGTGATTGCCATAAAATGTCATGATGGAAATGTGAGAGAGAGCCCAAAGTATGTCACAGAAAGTATGCCCCTGTTTGAGCTCTTCTTTGGTAACTATAATGTTAAAGACCAGAGCACAAAAATATAAATAATACCATGTAGTTTTCAGTTTTCTAAGGTCTGAAACAAAGAAATAAATAAAATTGTCAGATGGGCTCTAGGGGCTCACACCTGTAATCCTACCTACTCAGGTGGCTGAGATCTGATAATCGAGGTTTGAAGCCAGCTCTGACAGGAATGAACCACCAGAAAAACAAAGTGGTAGAGCACAAACAGTGAGAAGAAAAGCTCAGATCTGGCACCCAGGCCCAGGTCCTGAGTTATCAAGCCCCATGACCAAAAACAAAAAAATTGTCATTGACCTTATAATATTTGAAAGCAGGATTTGAAACATGTTTGCCTATCTGAAATTATATACACACACACACACAATTTTGTCAGTTATTTTATCTGTTATCTGCTTCCTTAATTCTTTCTGCAATCTTCAATCATTTTTATCTCTTTTCTGAACTCAGTAAGTCACTCTTGAACCAGAACCACATTAAACCATGTCCTTCCTAAATAATTATCTTCTATTTGATTAGTCAAAATGTAATTGTTTGCTACTTTTTCCAATTGGAGAAATAACTTAAAATTATTCCAAATTTTAGAATTTTTTATACACATAAATAGAAATATCTTAATTAAAAACCAAGTTTTAGAAATCAAGTCACAGAAACCATGTTTTATAATTAAAAACAACATGTAAAAGTATCAGTTTCACCTAAATTATTTTTCACTCATACAACTTTTAAAATGCTAAACTGTTTTAATGAAGTGATTTTAATGCTAGGACATCATCCAAACATTTAGTCAATTTTTTTTATTTGAAGATGGTTTTCCTTTTGAAATAAAAATATGTAACAATAGAAACTGTTGAATCTTAAATTTCATTATCAGTTAAGACTCCCATGTTTAATCAGGAATGACACATTATTATAGGAGCACTTTAAATGTTCTTTGTGGTCACCATTTTTAATTATTGGTTGGTTGTGATATTTACTCTTACCCCAACCAAAGGGGAGAGAGAGTTGTTTTCTCAGTAACCAGTCTTTGAGCCTATTTCTATGTAATGGAGATATTTTGGAAGATCGTCGTATGAAACCTATTCCACTCAGTTCTAAATGTTGTGACTCATACTGCCTGCGACCATAACAGCATTAGTAATAGAGCTTAAATACTAGATGGGCCTAGGAAGTCTAGGAGTTCACACTGCTTCCTGAATCTGCTGCTCCGAGGGCCATCTGAAGCAAAGGTAAATAATTTCTATTGATTGTAGATAAAATGGTGTGGGATATTCTGTGTTGGGTACTTTGATGATTTCTATCAGGTCCACTCATCACAGGAAATAGTTATTTCAAGGGTTTGGAATCAGAAGGAAGAAAAATAGGAAAGACAGACATGGAAAATAAAGATAAGGGGACTAATAGTCTCAATTCAGGTAAAGTAATAGAGAACTGAGGTAAGAGTTTTAAATACACACAAACTAGCTGAAGAATACATTATATGCAAGTAAATATAACGACTCAAACATTGTGATAAGTCCTAATTAAGAATATGAGCTGGGTATAGGTGGTTTATGCCTATAATCCTAGCTGAGATCTGGCTGAGGTCTGAGGATCACAGTTTAAAGCCAACTCAGATAGGAAAGTCCATGAGACTCTTATTTCTAATTAACCACCGTAAAGGCCAGAAGTGGAGCTATGGCTCAAGTGGTAGAGTGCTATACTTGAAGAGAAAAGCTTAGGGACAGTACCCTGCTCCTGAATTTAAGCTCTGGGACTGGCACAAAAAAAAAAGGAAGAAAGAAAGGAAGGGAAGGAAGGAAAGAAGGGAGGGAGGAAAAGAAAGAAGGGAGGAAGGAAAGAAAGAAAAAGAATATAAAGTAGCTTTTCTTCAAAAATCAAACATTAAAGTGTTTTGTTCAAATTCACCGAGTAAGTTCATTTAAATTGTGTGTGGGGGGGTTGTTTTTGTTTTTATGGTTGTGGGGTTTGAACTCAGGGTCTGGGCACTGTCCTCTTTGAGCCACAGCGCCACTTCCAGTTTTTTTTAGTAGTTTATTAGAGACAAGAGTCTCACCGGGACGTTTCTATCTGGCTACTCAGTCTCTGGAGTAGCTAGGATTACAGGTGTGAGCCACTGGCACCTGGCTTAAATTGTCATTTTTAAAGCATATATAAGTTTTCTCTCAGAATCCATAGACTGGTAAAGGCCGTATTGAGTTACTTTACTGAATTCACTCCTATTGTGCTTATATTCTATTATGATGTATAATTTTTTTGCTAAGAAATGATAGCTGTCCACACCCCATCCAGACCTCTAGCAGAACTGGTAAGTCTCAAGCTCCAGATGAATATGTGTTTTATATAAAGTTGTCCTCTCATTTTAGCTAGTGATGATGGTTCCCAATAATATGCATTATGCAACATGAAAGACTAAAGATTTGTGTACAGAGAGCATAAACTCAAATAAACTCCAGGGGCTGAACAGGTTCACACTGAACTGCAAGGTATAAGGAAGAGTGGAAGGTGGGGTGATATTCTGAGCCCATCTGTGTTCTGTCTAAAAGCACTGGAGGTTTTTTCACATGTTCTTCTAACCTTAAGAAACCTGTCTGGAGGCAGAAGTCAGCCTGATCGATCTTAACAATTGACAATGGAAACAAAACTCAGAAAGAAAATAAAAGTAGATATGATCTCCTCACGCTTCAATTCCAGGCTCTACCTCAGCATGAAACTGCTCATCCTGGCTGGCCTTTTGTGCACTGCTGCTGCTCTGCCCATCCCTGTGAGTACCTTCTCTTAGTTCAGATTCGGACTTGGAGTCTTGGAGTTTCTGAGCTAGCAAGCCTCTTCTCTCTTTCCATTTCACTACAAAGGAAGGTCATAGGACAAGGCATTCGCCACTCTTGCTCAGTCTAAGTCCCTGCTTGGTATACATCCCAGCTCTGTACCATTTGCTAGCTGAGTGACCTTGAGCAACAAGTTAACCCATACGCTCCCTGTTATAAAAATGATTTTTTAAAAAATTAAAACTTCGAAAGCACTTAAAATTCCTAATTGAAACAGGAAATTTTTCAAACTCAGCAATATAGAACAAGGCTTCTGAAATGGCCCAAATCTCAATTATGCAACTGAAGAGATTCATTTATCTCCAGTTCTCTCTTTCTCCTCTCTCCTCGCTCCTTTTTGGCAGTACTACTAGGATTTGAACTCAGGGCTGGGCACTTGCTTGGCAGGTACCCTACCACTTAAGCCATATTCCCCCAGCTCTTTTTTAGTCTGGTAGTATCTGAGATAGGATCTATTTTTTTTTTAACCTGGACCACAATCCTTGGATTTGCATTTCCTGCCATAGCTGGATGACAGACAAATATTACTGCCCAGCTATTTATTTTTCTTAATTTTATTTTATCCAGATTGGCTTGGACCGTGGTTCTCTTGATCTCCATCTCCAGTATAGCTGAGGTCACAGAAGCACACTACTGCTTTTGGTTTAAAGGGGGTCTTGAGAACTTTCCCAGCTCATTTCAAACTGCGATTCTCCCAGGAAAAAAGGCCAGTGTGAGCCACCAGCTCCTCCTAGCTCAGGTTTTTTTTTTTTTTTTTTTTTTTTTAAGGCTCTTGCAGAGATGCTCTGACACCAACTGATGATCTACTTCTTTACATCTGATTTTATGGAAAAAAAATTAAGGCTACCTATTCTGGTTACTAAGTTATGGATGTAAAATCTTCTGTCTGAACTATACAGTCCACTATACAGATGAATCCTAAAAAGATTCTATGTGGAAGTCTTTGGATTAACAGTTCTAGCTGGGCACTGGTGGCTCACACCAGTGACTGACATTTAAAACCAATGTGGGCAGAAGAGTCTACAAGTTTCCATCTCTAATATAACAGCTAAAGGCTGGCTGGAGGCATGACTCAAGGGGTATAATACCAGGCACGTGAGCCTTGAGTTAAAATCCATTCAATACAA